ATCTTCTTGAAGTCCCTCAAATTAAGGTAAAGAATAAGAACAAATCATTCTGGAAGAACGCAAAGGAAAATAGCTTTAGATACTTAAGTGACGATAGAATTTATTCTCATAATTGTTTTAATAGCTTTTGTATAATCCTCATCGCTATTATGAGATATAAAATGTATTTATCAAATCTGTAATTATGCCAAAAAATCTGAATTACTGTAATATTTTGTATATTGCTAAAACTGTAACTTTAATTGTATAAAAAAAAATTTTTTTTAAATCTATCTTACATATAATTGCATGTGTATGCACTGTCTACATGAGCTTTTGTTTTAAAAATAAGTTACTTGATATCAAACTGGCTTATAAGTAAGTACTCAAGTAAACTAGGGTTGTTAAATTAGCTCAACCTCCTTTGGGCTCACAGTAAAGCTAAAATTTTAAGGGAAAAGAGCCCAATTCCAACAGACTAGGTTAGCTTGGTCACATGTCCGGTGTGCCATCTGAGGATATGAAATCAATGTGGCTAATTTGGAGAAACAAAGGAGACTAATGATTCTAGCTCTTTTTCAGAAAATTAACGTGAGATTTTAAGTTTAAATAGTTAAAAAAATTTTTTGTTTAAAAAAAAGGTTAAGGTATTTAATTATATACTTCTGGTCAGGATGTTACCTCTTGATCCTTATCTCAATTCTGGTTTTACAATGTGGTTCCTACTGCTTGAGTATATAAATTAATTTTAAGAGACAGGCGCACTTACACACATGCAGGCAACACACTCATACAGATAAATAGTATTTTTTAAAAAAAAAACTAAATTTTTACAGTCAAAATTCAATACCCTGAGGTAAAATTCCTGCTTGATTCTGTGTTTAAAAACCAAGAAAACAGGGTTTTTTTAAGTATTAATTGGCTTTGAAAAGCAAGAACTTTTTTTTTTTTAATGTGATGTTGATATTTTTTTTTCACATCTACTAATTATTGTTTTTTAATCATTATTTTTTTAATTTTTTTTCATAAGGGAATACTTTAAAAACCTATATGCTACCAAATTCGAAAACCTAAAAGAAATGGAAAAGCAAGAACTTTTAAACATAATGACTAAAATTCAGAATTAGTTGCAGACTCTTCCTGGTTATGGGGGAGAAAGATGATTTCATCAACTGAAAGAAGGGACATCACATCAAACACTTCATTCAACTGGAGGAAAAAGACTGTGTCCACGTACGTCTAACCTGCTCCTATACTACAAAACTCCAGGAGATTCACATGTGGCCACTTCATCTGAGAACTCATCCCTATGGACTTCAGAGATGCTGGATGGGATTCATCTTCAACAGACAGACAATCTAGTACTCCCAAGTAAGTGAACATTTCTGTTAGGGTTCCAAATAGCAGCACCCCCCCCCCTCCCCCACAGGGACCTACAGACTTTGGAGCCTGGAAAAGGGAACTTAGCTGATAATTTCAAACTAGCGTTCAGTGGTATTCTAATCGACGCTGGGTAGCACGCAGGCACAGACCGCATTCGTGCTATTTTGTGATTAAAACGATACCAAAAATACCCTTGCTTTGGTTTTCATCTTCTAAAACGACGTCTTCCCCTCTTCTAATTGCCCCCTTTCTTTGGGGAGCGGTGAACCCCTGACCGCGCTAGAATTGCTAACGTTTGGATCAGCAGTGGTTGAAATATGGCCTCTTCCCTTCCCTCCCCTCCCCTCCCCTCCCTTCCCTTCCCTTCCCTGACATCTTTCCCTCCACCAACATCTTTCCCTTCCCCGAGGGAAAGGTGCCCCGTGAGAAATAAATCTGTATCCCGCTGAGAATTCCATCTGTGCCTAGGTGCTTTCCTCCATCCGCGCTGCTCGCTCCCTCCCGCTCTCTACCTATCAATTTCTAATTAAGAGGTTTTTTAATGGCTTCTGACAGTTAATGCTTCACTTGGTATATTCCTGAATGATAAAATAATACTAATTCTCATTTAAATAAGTTATAAATATTTCCTTTCATTAATCATGGGCTTTTTTATTATTATTTTCTTACCCAGAACCCCTACCTTACTCAACTAGTTTTCATGTTTGAAAGAGTCAAGTGTTTTTACTTTTGTAAACTTATATATCCATAATATTTGGTATGTAAATGAAGACATTCTTGTTAAAAGAAAGCTTAAAACTACTATGTTATGTAATTCCTTCTATAATAGTTTTTCATTTATTTTTCCAAACTAAATCTGGTATACCAATATAATAAAAGATCAAGTCATTATCACCAGATAAGAGCTACTGGAGTTAGTGCTAACCACTCCACATGAGGTCATAGCAGTAGAGTCTACTTGCCATCTTCTGGCAGACCTACAGGCCCTGTGACAGTGGTACTTACTTTCCATCCATGCTGTGTTGGCGGGATCTGCCACCCATCGGGCCAGGGCATTGCCTTCTTGGCCACCTTGATCATCACTGGAAGGAAAGAGACCATGAACTGGGAACATGGAGAAGACTATCAACCATGGGGAAGGGGGGCTAAGTGACCCACAGCACCCATGTTGTATGCATACTACTTAATGTCTGCTGTAGATCTTCCCAGACAAAACTACAAGAATCCCAGGTTGGAATTTACACACATTTCTACCAGCCACCCCACCCACAGTGTCAGGGGTGTCATCCTGACTCATAGGCTGAGGCTGATTTGTCTAACCCTAACATCACACACATGCCAGGCTGACTGTGCAAGGCGTCAGCCTCTTCTCCCTCCACACAGGGCCATCCACAGCCACAGTCAGACAGGGACTTGGATTCTGCCTTGGACAATGAGAAGCCACTGTGACATTTTCTTTGGAGGATGACAAGAAAGGATTCACTAGACAACCTGTGAATCAACCCTGTGAGGTCTCAGCAGGCTGACTATGGGGAACTGAAGAAAGAGCAGAAAGTGAGACGTGGAGGGGTAGAGTTAGGACGTGGTGGGGGAGGGTACAGCAGACACCCAAGGATGTGCACACAAGGCTCAGTTAGAAAACAGTCCTGTGTTTGGTGGGCAGGAGGCAGGGGCGGAGTATGAAGCATACAGCAGACATACACAGATGTGTGCACAGGGCATTTCGGAAATGGTCCTGTACTCAGCGGAGGGGTGAATCATACAGAGAAGGGAGAGGGTCTTCCACTTGTTAAAGTTTCAAATCACATCTGGACAGTTACTTTTTTACCCATTGGTGGTGGTGGTGTGTGTGTGTGTTTGTATGTATACATGTACATTTGAGTGTGGGTACGAGGTGTCTTATTCCATCACGCTCCATGTTTTTTTGTTTTTTTGTTTTTTTTGAGACAGGGTCTCCCTATAGCCCCAATTAGCCTGGAGAACTCACTATGCAGACAAGGCTGGCCTTGATCTCAGAGATCCACCTGCCTCAGCTTCGGAGTGCTACGATCAAAGGCATGCATGACCATGCCCCGGCTCCACCTTAGTATTTGAGATATCTTACCACTAGCTCACTGATTGAGCTAAACTGGCTGGCCAGCAAGCCCCAGTCTCCACTCCCTGATGTTGGGACTATAGGCTTGCACCCTGAGCTTGGCTTTTATGTGGGTGCTCGGGATTGAACTTGGGTCCTCATACTTGCATGGCAAGACTTTATGCACTGATCCATCATCCTCCCAGTCCTGGTTTTGCTTAGGGGAAACAGGGTCTCACTATGCAGCTGATGCTAGACTAGAACTCACAATCCTCCTGCCTCAGACTACTGGGGGGACTGTAGGAATCATCACCACACCTGGTAAAAACTAACTTTTTTGGGGGAGGGGGTACTTTTTAAGACAGGGTCTTCCTGTAGCCCCAGTTGACCTGGAACTCACTACATAGACCAGGTTGGCCTTAAACTCACAGAGATCTGCCTGCCTCTGCCTCCCAAGAGCTGGGCTCCAAGGTGTGCACCACCACGCCCACTGAAAACTAACTTTTAACCATGCACAGAACTGCAGTTTGTGGCAAAGGATCTTAATGAGTCTGCTTTTTTGCCTAATTCTGCATTTCCCCAAGGGAAAATCCTGGTCAAACGAGCGCCTCTTGAAATTCCAGTGGTTTCTCAAGGGTTTTAAGTCTAGGATTCTTTAGGACTGAAAGAGAGACAAGACGTATTAACGTCAGCCCCAGTCATGCTGGTGTGAAAGCCTGACGCCTGAAAGAAGACATGGTTCTGGGTACCTAGGGAGGGGACTCTGGGTGACCAACAAGCTGGGTAAAAGGGAGGCTGTGGCCCCTGGGAGGGCCAAGGGAGGGACTGCCTGGAGCTCAGGTGGCATGAAGGCCCAATGAATGAGTCCAACATTAAAGGAAAAACAGACTGAAAGCTTAACATCAAGTTAACACACACCTGTGTGGAGGGTCCTCAGAACTCAGGGAACGACGCTGGCCATCTTCTGCAACGTCTCCTGCTTCTGCCAAGAGAAAAAAAAAATGACATTATTTTGTGCCTGACAAAAATGTTTGTGCAGTTGATTTTTAACCCTTGAATAATTCTCTATTTCTCTTTCTCGTCAATGGGTTCACGCTACTACAAAGATGATAAGCTGACTGACAGATTGGAAAATGTTCAGCTCTTAGATAAAATGAATTCAAAATAGGATTATGAGAGAACATGAGATTCCCGTCTGTGACATGGACAGAATCAATACAGACACACAGATCAGTGGGTCTGGAGCGTCCCAAGGGCTCATTTTATAGAAGGTGGGGTCCCCAGCTTAAGGGATCCAATCACTGAGAGGTGACTGAACTAGGAAGGCTCTACATCGTTTCTCTCTCTCTTTCTATCTCTCTCTCTCTCTCCCTCTCCCCCCTCCACCTGCCTTGAACCCTTCTACTGCTTTATGATGTTTGTTCTGCCTAACCAATAAGCCCACAGCAATGCAGTCAGTGACCTGTGACCACAGACTGAACCTGCTGGAACCATAAGCCAAAGTAAATCTCTCCTTTCTTTGCACTGTTCTGTCAGGCATTCTATTGAGTAACAAAACGCTAACACAGCACCCTTCCAATTCTGAGTTTCCATGGGAAGTTACTACCTGACTTACCTGCAGGCACATCTGCCTAGGAAACCCAAGACAGTGAAGAGAAACAGCGAAGTGTGACAGCCAAACATCACCCCCACACAGAGAGCGCGTCCAGGCAGTCTTGGGTCTGCACTTAACAGTTGCCACCCATGCCTGACCAGGCACTCTTGGGTCTGCATTTACCCCCCCCCCACACACACACACACAGAGCCCATCCAGGTACTCTCAGGCCTGCACTCAACACCCCCGCCACACACACAGAGCCTAACCAGGCACTCTTGGGTCTGCACTTAACACCCCTCCCCATCCAGGCACTCTGAGATCTGCACTTACCGCCCCCCCCCCCCCCCCCCCCACACACACACAGAGCCTAACCAGGCCCTCTTGGGTTTGCATTTCCCCCCCCCCCCCCCCCGCCCCAATACAGCCTGATCAGGCAATCTCAGGTCTGCCTGGCATTTTCTTCCCATCTCTGGTTCGGGTATACACATGCCGAGCTTGTGACGAAGGCTGTCCTGCAGGCTCCACACACACTGTGTGGGGGTGCACAAACAGGCAAACTGTCAAGGAGCAGCTTGATGAGCTATCAGAGATCCTCTAGCTCAGAGATGGTGCTGTAAGATCTGGCACATGTGTTATGTGTGTGATCTCCCATCCTCCAGTGGACTATGTCCCTGCACAGCAACAGAGTACTGGGAACCCCTGGGGGAAGGTGAGTGGACAACCTCAGGCTGTATTCCTAAGCTGACAATGCTGTCCACACGGAGCCTCCAGAAAGGGATTCATTTTATGGGTAAGCAACAAGTCCTAAAACTTTTCAGTCGTTCAACAGGTAGACAAAGCCCAGGAGGTTGAGCCCAGTGCAACCAGTGCAGAGAACTGAGCCACGAGGACACTGGTGTCTTGGCCATGTGGGCTGCAACCACATAGCTAGATGCTGAACAGTGCACATAGCTGCAGAGTGTGAGACCTGGTTGGCAGTGCACCAGGCATGGGCTGGCTGAGCTTCCCAGGACATGGCCATGGTGAGGTAGCATCCCCACCCCCAGATCCCAGAGAAGGGGCAGAGGCCTCCCGATCTGACTGAACGACTAACTGTGGTGGATGCTTTCCCATGCCCACCACCACGTTTCTCCACTCAGGTTTCTGCTTTGGGGAAGTGAGATGCAAAGTAGGTCTCCTTCAAAACACCAGGCAGGATCTGGAGGGGTCAGGTGAGCATGCGTGGAATGCTGGGCACCCGGGTTTTTCTGGCCAGTAAAGACTAGTGCTCTTCTCCAGGAAACTGGACTTATGGATATCCAGCTCTTCACAGATCCAGGCCTCCTAGATCTGGCTGGACTGCAAGTGTTAGGGAGTATGAGTGTAGAGTTGCTAAAAGCTCTTGCAGTGTGATAGTAATGAAACCCTTTGGATGGTTGCTAAGAACTTTGAATGGTTGCTAAGGACTTTGGACCCTGAAAGGGGAATGGGGGAGGTAGGAACCTTCCTCGCCCCCTGTGGTTACCCAGGATTGAAGTCTTTGTTTTCCAAAACTGCTACATTCCATAACCTTTGTGACCTTATGTAACCTGGAAGCCACTTAATTATCACATATGTGCTAGTTGCCTTTTGTTGTAACCCTCATATATGAGTATAAATGTCCCCAAAAACTTGAGCAAGGGCTGGCACCATTACGGAGTGGTTGGGTGTCAGTCCACTGGTGTGAATTAAAATTCCCTCTCTTCCGCCTGAAGTCTCTTGACTCTCCTGAGGGGGCTGGTGAGGACATGTATCCCAGAACAGCACTGGGGAGCACAGTGGTACAGGACATAAACCCTGCCAGCATTGAGCAGGGCATCTCTGCTTAGCATTTAGGGTGTATGAATTCCCAGGTGTGAGACACTCTTCTTAAACAGAGGCAGAATTCTGATTCTGTAAGGGTTCTTTCCTTTCCAGTTAGTAAAAACTGAGAAAATACTTTTTAAAGGAAGCTGTGTTTCAATACTGGAAAGGACAGAAAGGTTCTGAGGATGTTTTCTTGTAGAAACTGACCATAATCCAGAGACTTTACCATGATCCACAGTGCCGTCTATATTGTGTAACATAGAGAAGCAACCATCTAAAGACCAAGGGCCTTTGCAGTCCAAGGAAATGTGTTCATAAGCCAGGCACAGGGGAATAGACGTATTATCCTACCTACTTGGAGCAGCTGAGATAGGAGGATCATGAGTTCTTGGTGCGTCCAAGGCCAACCTGGGCAACTTAGCAAGACCTCGTCTCAAAATAATTAGTCAAAAGAGGGCTGTAGATAGGGCTCACTGCAGAGGACTTGCCTAGCATGTACAGAGTTCAAACTCCAGTACTGGGGCAGGATGGGGGGGGATTGTGTACCTTAATTTTAAAGCAATTTTCTTTCTTTAATTTAATTGTTGTAAAGAGTAGGAAATCATTTAAAGTTACTTTATCTGAAAATAATTTGATATGATTTAAAACAAGTTGCCTTTTTTTACCATCAAATGAGACCCAATGATAAAAGTCCATCATAATAAACATGGCTCTAAGCCCTGGAACCACAGACAGCATTGCACAGACCTTGTTGTGAGCACGGGGTTAGCAGGTGACAGGACACACAATCACAGCCACACTCCAGAACAGTGATGTGTAGTGAAGAAGGCAAGGCGGGCCAGGACTAGGCCACCTAAGTTCTCCCTGGTGCAGAGGCCAGAGACTCCAGAACACACAGCAGACTCAGATAGCCCTTCACTGTGCCCAAATGGCCATAGGAGAGGCATGTACCTTCATCCTCTACAGACTCTGTCCGGATGATGACAGGGCTAGAGTAGGCAGGCAGCAGCAGTGGCAGGTTGGACGGCACAGCATAGCCACAGGGCACAGGTACTGAGTACCCACTGGGCACACGCAGGCCCACACCTTCTTCCTCTGTATTTGCATCTGGGGATGGTGGCTGCTCCTCCTGGAATGGTGTGATGTCGATGACTGAATACGGGTTCACTTTTGTTGGGACCATGAGTTTGGCAGGTTCTGACACTGGGGTGGTTTCTGCTCCAGTTCCATTTCCTGAAGAACGGAAGAGCATTTGTAAGAAATAGTGTCAAAGGTACACAGTCCTACTGGCTATAGCAGGGGCATGGGAACCTCTCATCCTACCAACTTTAGGACCCTCAGTGTTCCCAGATTACGACAGGTGGCTGTGAAGCCTGGGTTGACATGTATACTATGGAAGGGATGCCTGGAGTCACCTCTGAGCACAGGTGGGAGAGACCCTCCCTGGAGGTGCCAGACAGTTATTGAATGGAAGGAGCCAGAGAACCACACGGATATTTGGCTGGGGACAGAGAGAGTGAGGCTGGTCCTTGATCATGGCCCACAGTGGCCCACACCTGGGTCTAAGCAGTCTGCTTTGCTAGTGAGCGGAAAACATGCTCATACAGTTCAGTCACCCCAAGGGCATTCTGCTTTCATTTTATGCAGTGTGATGATGAATTGACAAGATATTTCCACTAGAAAACAGCAATACCTTTGTCTCCAAAATGTAAACAGAAGGTTGGGGCAGTACAAATGAAAACAGGGAAAATGATACAAGGAAACTCAGCCCAAACAGTGTGGCTGGCTCAGCTGCATCCCAAGAGCCTGAAGCCTCTGCCCTTGAAACTGTCCCTGTGACGCTCAAATGTGAAAGTTCCATGGACAAGTCTTGCGGGCTGAAGGCTTGGTCTCCAGCAGGTGGTGCGACAAGGCACTGACTGGATGTAGAGGAAGCTGACCTCAAGGATGGATTAATCATCACTGATGAGCTCATAGATGAATGGGCTACTCAGGGGTGTGGCCGGGCTGGAGGAAGAGATCTTGGGGTTTGTGTGGGTCTTTGAAGGGCTCCTCAGCCCTCCCCTCTCACTCTTGCTCTGCTTCCTGACTGCCATGAGGTGAGTAACTCAGACACTTGACTCTTCCTGGAGCAGGCCCTGAGCCTCTGAGAGGAGGAGCCTAACCTGTCCTCCTTACATTCTAGCTCAGATTCTGGTGCAGGGGCGAAAGCTGCCATGGTCCTGCAGGCAGGGAGAGATCAGGGAGCCTCCTGCAGGACACAGGGCAGCAGGAACACAGGGCGGCCTGGCCAGGGCACTCATCACCTGCTTCGGCTCCTCTTGTCATGTGGGGAGGCGGGGCTTGCCGATCTGCTTCTGGAACTTCATCTCCACTGTCAAAGTCAAATCTCTCTCCCTCCTCCTCCTCTTCATTGTTACTGGTGTCATATTTCACTTCATTTTCTGAAGTTTAAAATAACACAAATCACAAAGCTGACATTTGTTCCTGGTACAGCATTTGTACCTCCTGTGCAAGACAAACCTGGCAGAACCTGCCAGAGAGGTAGAGATCTGAGCCCAAGGGGAGCTAGTCTGGCAGGCAGCCCTCACTAGAAATCCAGTGGCAGAACTCAGAGGCAGAGCTCTGGTCTCCTTTGGCAGATCCTTCACTGTTCAGGTGGAAAAGAAATCAAAGAGGAAAAGGAGGAAAGTGGAGGCATCTTTCCCACCCTAAGCATGTGCCATGGGTTAGGGTCAATTAGGGACATAGTCGTGGTGCTGTGCTAAGACAGTGTGAGAAGAGGACAAAGCCTGAATTTACTAACAGGGCCTCCATCCATGTGACAACTCCATGGTCTTGCTGTTTACAGTGACATACCTACATCACCCTGTGGCAGAATGAACTGACCCCTGTAACAAGTACCACACAGTCAGAATTGGTGCGAACTGTTCTTTTGTGGGGAATGGAGTAAATACTGCTGAAATTAACACATTTTACATCACAACTGCATTTCTCAGGGTAGGGAGAAGTTTAGTGGTAGAGCATATGCCTAGCATGTATACCACCAGGTTCCATCCAACACCATCTTCCTCTATGTGGTACGGGATGACACACCCTCTTGATAAATGGCAGCTGCCACACATATGAGACCCACCCCCCTAAACAGCTAATGGACTGGAGAATATATCACAAGCACCCAAAACAATATTGTACAATGTATACAACAGGACTGTAAGAAGGCATTGTGTAACCCTTGCTCTGAGAACTGAGGCATGTGACAGACTGAGCTATCTGCCAGAACAAGTTTACCCTGTGTCCTAGTTTGTTTCTTTACTGCTGTGACAAAACACTCTGACCACTACCAACTTGAGGAGGAAAGGGTTTATTTAGCTTACATATCCCCGGGTCACAGTTCATCCACTAGCTCAAGGTAGGAACTCAGGGCAGGAACCTGGAGGCAGGAGCTGGAGCACAGGCCATGGAGGAATGCTGCTTACTGGTTTGCTCCCCTGCCCCGCCCCCGCTAGCCTGCTTTCTTATGCAAGACAGGTCCACCAGCTAAGGGGTGGCACCACCCACAGTGGGCTGGGCCCTCCTACATCACTCAACAAACAAGAAGGTGCCCCATGCACATGGCCACAGGCCAGTCCAATGAAGGAAATTCCCAAATTGAGGCTCCCTCAACCCAGGTGTGTCAAGTTGACACTAATGCTATCCAGCACACCCTGGTAAGGGAGGAATCAGACCAGGGAAAAGCTGTACGAATGCCATCTTCACATTAGCCTCTGGTTTGGCAGAAAAGCCAGGGAAAGGGAGGATGAGATGGAAAAGCTGGCTCTCACAGCTGGCAGGGTGGAGGGAGGGTCCACACTAGCTCCATGCTAACAAGCCCAAACACTTGGAGCCCATGGGGAGGAACCAGACAGAGAGGGGCAAGAGTGGGGCAGAAGTGCTGAAACACCCCTCAGATCTGACCTCCAACGCACTGGAAGGGAAAGATCTGTGGTGCCGGCAGGGAGATGGGCGGTAATGGTGACAGCGACAAACCACGACTGTCAGGTGACACTCAGCACCTGACTGCTTCAACTGGGAAGGACTTTCAAACAAGCAATCAAAGAGCGTCTCGCAGGACACTTGAGAGGCTGATTCAGCACGGACCTCAGGACTGCTTTGGGACGTCACCGGCTTTGCTGAGTCCCACAGAGGGATGTGATCCCTACAAGGCTGGGAGATGCTCTGGCAGAGGTGAGGGATCTGGACTGGCATGTAAATCTGGCTCATAAAGTGCTAAAGCGATCAAAAGAGAGGAGAACAAAGGCAAAGCAGACAAAGTAGCCTGTCCAGGTCCCTCAAAGGCAAATGTGGCAAAAATTCACAAGAGACACAAGTGTTATATAAAAAACAGTGCAGGTAAAGATTAGTTTGTTCAAGGGGTGGTTCCCTCCCCACCCTCCCAGTCTGTGAGGTATACATCTCTTCCCTATGAGGAAATATATGGGGTGGAGACTTCTCACCAGCCTGGGGTCCTTTCATCAGGCAGGTGTGACTGAAGAAAAGCCAGGCCCCTCAATGCTGGCCTGCAGCCTGTTAGAACCAGGGACCTGGTTCCAGCAGCAGGCACGGCTAGGCAAACAGTACAAGCTGGCCCAGCAGAGTTCCTCAGTGGTAGGGAGATGTGCAATGGACCCATAGCAGCAGCAGCACCCAAGATGCAGAGGCAGGACAGCTCATGGAAATAATAATGGCCTATGGAGGGTATACCTATACTGCTGTACCCAATATTGCTTTTTATACAAAGCTGATAAAGTGATGGGGTCATCTTATGCTGTACTAGATCTCACTAACGTCTTTTTTTTTTTTTTTTTGGTCTTTTTGAGACAGGGTCTCCCTGTAGCCCCAGCTGTCCTGGAAGTCACAGAGATCCACATGCCTCTGCCTCCCGAGTGCTGGGATTAAAGGCATGCACCACCACGCCCGGCTTACGTGTCTTTTTCAGTCTCCCCTTAGCTGTCCAAGATCATTCGGCATTTACTTGAAGCAGAGAGCAATGGACCTTCAGAGATTCTGCCCACCTTCTATATACAAGATTTCCAGGAATGCAGTGGTCTGCACAGAGCCTAAGTCTTTCTTGACAGCACTGCTGTGCAAGTGTCATTTCAGTGTGGGCCTGGCTGGCTGCTGGGGTATGGACAAGATTGGCAGAGGTGTCTGCAGAGATGTAGACAACACGATGGAAACCTGTCCACCCACATGGTACAGTCACAGGGAATACTTGCCAACTGCGGGTTTTACAACAGCACATAAAAACATACACTCAGCCATACAAGACCTATAATAAATTGGGGTGCTTGGTGTGAAGGTGGGTGGGATGTGAGGTTGAGCAACTCTGCCTCCTTTTCACACTCTAGGTCAGCAGTAAGGGAGCAGGCCTCATGAGCAGGAATTATAGCTAAAATGTCACTGAATCCCCCAAAGACAGCAAGCCATCATCCTGTTTTTAACTGCTGTATGTGCTAACTCTCTGGAAAGTCACCAAGCACTGTTAAACTTTTGAGCCAGGGCAGTGTCATTCCCCAGTCGGTCATGGTCGAAAGCCAGAGATGCCCTCTGCAGGTGCTGCATCCCACCAGGACAGGAGACACCGGCCTCTGCTGTCAAAGCCCCAGTACAGGCCCAGAGGACACTCCAGGTGAAATGCTGACAGGGACACTGGGATTTCCAGTTCCTTGTAGTCTAGACTTCTCATCATAAGAACCCCTTACTGAGCCTGGGTCAAGGAGGCCTGGGCTCCGGGGAGCGAGGGGGTTAGACTTATGCAAGAGGGCAAAACCCGTACCCAGGGCAGGAGGAAGCCAAGGCTCAGATGATGAGAGGAAGGGACAACAGCTCAAGTGAACCATGCTTGCGAGGACCAGGCATCAAGCTGCCCCTGGGCCTTCCAACCCTGCTTCTGGGGCCCTATGCAACCCATTGGCTGTACTCTGCTGTGCCCAGGTGTGAGTACAGGAGCCATCTCCAGTCGCAGGAGTTTGTCCATCAGGCTGGCCAGAGGTGGCCAGCATTTCAGGGAATTCAGACAGACCCACTGTCAGGCAGTTTGTGGAGACCAGATGCTGCCAATGCTGAGTGTTGCCAACATACGCCAGAGGCACAATCAATGGATGACACAGGGAAGAAGCATGTACCTGCCACCAGGTTGTAACAGGGCTTTGCTGTTTGTTCCTACAGCCTTCCTGTGGGAAGGCTTCCTGGGCCCTCTGTGGGTCGTTTTTTTTTTTTTTCCCTTTTTGGGGGGGGGGGGGGTGAGTGCCATGGCACGCTTACGGGGGTCAAAGAACAACTTGTGGGAGTTGGTTCTCTCCTTCTACTCTGTGGGTCCCAGGTATCAAACTCAGGTCATGGGGCTTGGCAGCAGGCACTTTTACTCACTGAGCCATCCTGCTGGCTGGGCCTGTCTTTTACTTTCCTGTTTCCCCAGCTTCTGTCCTCCCCTCAGCACTTCAAAGCACTGTCATTTCCCCCATGTTATATTTAGCCAATTTACCTAAGAATATGCATCACAACTGAAAAGCGCAGGCCACAAGGCCAGGGGCCAATCCCAAACCATGGCAGGAGAAAAACCCCAGGGGAGCCCTGACCCAGCTACCAAGCCACTGCAGGAGAAAAAGCACAATGAAACCCTGACCTAGCTCCTCAGTGCTCATTTTTCCAATTTATACATAAATTGATGATGTTCATGGAGGGACAGGGGCAGAACTTGATTTCCTAGCCTATGCTGCCCTGGGTCTAGAAACCCCCAGGAGGGGTTGTCCAGCCTGAGTCAGGCTTTGTTCTGGAGTCTTCCATCTACCCAACCTACACCATGGTCATTCACGGTGTTTCCAGGTCCCTGCTTTACTTTGCAAAACAGCTGTACTTGCAGTTGCCCCATTTGTGACCCCATGCATCTCTACCATGGGCCTGGAGTGCATATGCGGCACACAGCCAGGACCAGGAGGACCAGAGAGAGCCAAGGGTGTCAAGGGGTAAGCCCCTTCCAGCCCACACATGTGGCGTCCTGGACACACAGAGGAAATGGCCATCACTGTGTGGCTGAGCTGCTCGCAGCGTTACTGCCCACCCCACCCTTCAGATCCTTGCTTCTTCACCTCCTTCTTCACCAGCAAGATAGGAGCCAGTGTCCCTGACACAGCTTTTCTGGCAGTGGCCCAACTGGTGAGGTGTGAATTAGATGCTAAATGGCCACTGCCTTAGCTCGAGCCCTCAGTCAGAATCCTGCAGACAACAGGATCCAGGGACACCTGTGAACAGGCAGAGCCCTACCTGTAGGTACAGGAAGCCAAGCCTCCCGCTGGTCCATGCTCAGCCTTGCCCCTTCTTTCCACACTTGGCCAGCATCAGGGGACAGGAGTCCCTGCAGGTAGAAACACGGTCATCCAGCTGGCGGGTGACACCTTTCCAGGAGACACCAGTCAGGCCTTCCTACAGACAACCTGCAACAAGCAAAGAGGTCAAGTCACTCCCAGCTGTAATAAAGAACCCAGCACCTATTAGTTGCAAGTACTTGCAAATCTCCCTTGAAGGGACAATCAGGAGCAGAACAAACAAAGGGTTCTCAGTGCACTGGGTTTCACCTTGAATCACTGCCAGGAGTTTATTTTTGGACCTGGAGGCCCTAGCTCTCTGAACCCAACAGCACAGCAGGTCTCCACTAGATTGCACACCATGTTCCAAGGGGGAGAAGCCAACACAGAAACCAGTTTGCTTCCTCTTCCTTCAGTTAAAACTTTACAGCATTCACTGAAGTCCCCCGTCCCCAAGAAGGCTGTACCTACAATGAACATTGTACAAATTGGATTGATTGATCAGAATTTCAATCAGATGGTGGTGAGTCAATGCCACAGGTCCAGAGCCCAATTATCTTGGGCTGTCTTACCCCTCACCCGCGCAAATAACCATTGCCCACTTTCGTATAAACTTAACACCCTTGTGACTATTAGGTAAATCCTCTTGGAATGAGGAATAGACCTCTAGCTTCCACAAAACCAAAGGCTGAGAATGAGGCTGACAATGTCAGATAATGGGGCTGGAGAGATGGTTCTGCAGGTAGGAGCAAAGAACCCAGGTTTGATTCCCAGCACCCACATGGCACTTAACACCATTCTTTAATCCAGTTCCAGGGAATCCAATGCTATCTTCTGGCCTCTGCAGGCACCAGACACATACATACATGCAGGCAAAACACTCACACACACACACACACACACACACACACACACACACACACAAAAAAAAATCTTAAAGGGTTGGAGAGCTGGCTCAGCTGTTAAGAACACTTGCTGTTCTTCCAGAGGACCAGGGTTTGAGTCCCAGCAGCTAACAACTGTCTTTAACTCCAGTTTCAGGGGATCTGACGGCCTATTCTAGCCTCTGAAAGCTTTGTACAACATGGGTATACTTATATACACACAGGCAATACACTCATACACATAAATTAAAACAATATATATTTTTAATCTTTAAAAAAAGAATGTCAGATAATACCTAAGACCTATAGCAGAGGGTTCCACACTTTACTGTAAAAGACTTACCTGATATACCCATTAATGTTTTTTAAAATGCCTTAACTTCTCATTTCTTTTTTCTGTTATTTTAAAAAAACTTCATAAAACTTCTATCACATTGAGGCATAAATCTGTGTTCCTGAGCCATGTCACTCATATTTGGCTTCAGAATAAACTCTCTCTTCTCTTCTTTGAGGTGATAGCCAGGTGTTTTGTGCTGACAACAGTTTCGCATAAAATTTGTTTCACATTAGGAACAACACTGGCAACTTTTTAGCTCCATTTGAGTCAGCAGGGTCCAACTCCACTGGTCTGGCTTTCTGTTCTGTTTTCCTTTTGCAAGCTTTATTCTCTACATGTATCAGAAAAACCAAGTTTGAGAATCACTATCTCATGAGAGTAGTTCCTAGCTCCCAAGGAGGCCATTCGGGTTACAGACTTTTGTCTGACCCATGCTAGACCCACCCAACACCAACCCTGGATCCTGCCTGGAACCACCCGACACCAGCCTTGAATCCTGCCTGGGACTGCCTGACACTAGTCCTGGATCCTGCCAGGACCACCCAACACTTACTCTAGATCGGCCTGGGACCACCCAAGACCAGTCCTGGACCCTGCCCAGAACCACCCAACATCAGCCCAGGATCCTGCCTAGGACCAGCCCTGGATTCTACCAGAACAGTGAGAGAAAACACAAATTGCTCTGGAACTTTTCCAGTTGCTTCTGTTCCGGTGTCAGGGGCATGTAGACAAGCCCCCTGAGTGGCACCCCCAACTCCCCCCTGACCAGCTCTTCATGCACTTGCTGCCCAATGACAATAAGAGGACAGGAAAAGCTTTGAACATCACAACACACCTAAGATGCCAACACAGCCCAGTGAATTCTTTCACCCCAATTAACAGGCCTGATGCTTGCTTTGACTCTTTCAGGAAACAAACAATGTTTTCATTAAAACTATCTGGCTGCATGTGCAGAGCCCGCATCTGTTGGTATGTGGAGTCACTGGATGCCAGCCTCCTGTGCAGCCTCTGATTTCAGCCTCTAGTGCTGCCCCCATGTAACCCTTGGCCACGTGGCTGCAACTAACCCTCATGGGCACGAGAGGTTACTCAGATGCCCACCCTCAGCAGCTAGGCCTCCCCAGTGGGTACCTGTGGTCCCAGCTCCAGGGCTCATGCCATTTCTCACCATACAGCTCTCCTGTGCTGGCTCTCTGCCATGAATGTGGTGGCCTACAGGCAGTGTTGGCTGTCTTACCCATTAATAACATCCTGTATCATGGCTCTAAAGCACAGGTCCTATTGTTATTTCATATGAAGAATATAGCGTGAGGACTTGCAAGATCCACCCAGGGCTATGATGAAGGCAAGTGTTTGGAGTGGAGCCCAAAAGCCCAGAGCCCTGGGTGGAGTCTGTGCTCTCTGCCTGCCAACAAGACCCAGGCAAGTACTGAGAACTTTGTGCAGCAGCTGCCTGCCTGGAACCCATGGAAGGTGACAGTATCTGTCTCAGGGGGGCTGTGGTGAAATCTCTCATGCAGGCAACAGGAACAGAGTGAGGCACCTTGGCAGTGCACACACATGCCAGGGAACTGCTGCCCTGCTAGGCAGAATCGGTCAGTTCCTGTGCTGCTCTACACCCCCGACCTGCTATTGATAGACACTCAAAGGTATCAACAGAAGGATCACCGGAATTTATCCTAAGGGTGGAAAATTGTGGTTTCCAGACTCCAGTGGTTCCTATAGTGACTAATGCAGATTAGAAGGAATCCTCAGAGAAGTTGCAGACCCTCCAACAGTCAGATTTGGTGGGAAGCCAGGATGACAGAACCAGGAAGGGCTATTTCAGGTTCAGTCATCGGCTGAAAGTACACTTGTGCTGCAGAACCCCACAGGGCCTAAGGCAGGACATGGTGGATCTGCACGTGGTATGCACACACACAGAGCACACCAGAGGACATGACCATGAGCTCACTTGGGGTTCGGGGTGGGGTGCTGTCCACTTCCACGCTGTCTTCCAAAGAGGAACACACAGCTGCTGGGGTGAACACTGCCCAGCCTCCCAGAGCTCAGGTGACCTCATGTTTGGCTGTGGCCCTAGATCCGGGGCAGCTCTAGGTGACTGAGGACTCAAGTAGCTGAGGACTCGGCTGGTCTCAAGAAAGGAAAGAGCACAGACTAGCTTTGGGGATTCTGACATAGACTGAGTCCTGTGTCAGGCCTTCCGAGGGCTCCATGTCCTCGGGGAACAGATACGGACATCGGTAAATACCCTTGAATTCTGTAGTCCAGAAAGAGGAGGTCTCTGGCCTACTCAAATAGCACTACCACCTGCCCACTGGCCTAGGGCTTTACATGAGCCCACTGTAAACCACACAATCCAGAAGACAAACTCTCACTATTTCTTAGGAACCAGGGTTGAGGCCCAGGAAGTGTCCCTAGGCTCACAGTTCCCCAGCTGGTGACTGCAGGCCTGGTGTCTCTAATCAATGCCCCACCCACTAGAGAGCAGCAGGCCCTAGATAAAGCACTCAGTTAGGCTCCTTCCAAAGTAGCTATCCCTGGAAAACAGCACTCCCCAGCAGGACACTATCTAGGGGCCAGTATACAATGTGTGCTTTTGCTTCTGGGCTCCTCTGAGGCCACAAACTATTATTTTGTAATCCATACTACAAGCACACAGCCTCCAGCCTCTCTCCCCCACCGCTGAGGTGCTAAGGGACAAGGTCAGGGACATTCCTGCAGCAGCAGAGCCTTTGGTCAGCGCTAGCACATCCTATCGCCCTCAGCTCTATACATACCCTTTCCTGCTTTTCTGTGCCAGCTTCTGGTAGGCTACCTGGCACGCCCCTCCTTGACCCAACTGGGCTCTGTAGACAGACTCTTGCATGAGGAGTGTGGGGCAGCAACCTTCCCCACCACTACAGGGCAGGGCCTGAGTCCAGGTTCGGAATCTGCTGCCGCCCTGACGAACGGCATGAGGTCATCCCTGCCTGGGCTGTGGGCTCTGTCCACTGCTGCTATCATCCCCCAATTTCAGCATTTTAATGAAAGATCTCATTGTGCATCTGGGATTGTGGTTTGGAACAAAACAGGGCACGTTCAGCTATGGAAGCCCAGAGACAATGCTGCTCTCTAAGCCTGCTGCAGATGTGTGCGTACTGCTTCTCCCACACTGCCCACTGGGCACTACATCTTCCTAACAACCACAGCAGTTACTTTCTATGGAAATACACCCAAACATCCCCACAGGGACAGCTCTGGCATCTCTCAACATGCGTCTGAATCTGTGAGGCTCAGAGCAGAGGAGCAGGAAAGCAGGACTCCAATGGGTGACAGGTCACCTTTGGGAAAACAGAGCATTCTGCTGAGGCCTGCTAAAGTCCTTCATGCTGAGAAGCATGAACAAGAGGCTGGAGCTTCAGACGCAGAGCCCATCTATCTAGATTCTTCCCTAGCCATCACCTACCACTGGACGAGGCTCTGGCCTCCGTGGCCTCCGTGTCCCTTGCTGTCACTGAGATGATGAAAATCATAATGCCTGCCATGGGCTGGGCAACGTGGCTCTCGGGAACCTCTGGGCTTGGCTGGCAGGAAGGCCCAGGGGAACAGGTGCCCTGCACAGCTCGATGTTTGCTTGGCTGATTCTGTATTCAGCACAGAGGCCTCTGCTGTGTGAGCCTCTTGGTGTTTCCTGATTTGCGTCCCTCTAGCCCCAAACCCTGCAGAAATGAGGCAGCCAGGCTGTACCACAGAACCAGCCACTGTCAGGGACATTTCAGTCCCCACCAGAGTCAAGTCTAAGATGGTCAGTGCCAGCATTCCTTGGCAAAGGGCCTGGTTCCGACTGGCAGTAAGGACCCACCAGGGGCTCTTGGCTGTTTCACTCCAGACCTGAGGATAAGACAGCCTAGAGTGGAGGCCTAGAG